GCCTTTTCAGGTTTCTTAGTGTTTGTTTCTGTTGTTTCTAAATAGCATCATATAAAATTTTGTTTCTCTAAATGTTATTTCTAATGTTTAAATGGTGCTTTACCTGAATTTTTGAGGGGTGTACTTCAAATGATATTCTGTTGCTGTAAGTATTGTATTCTGGCTTACGGCTTAAAAGAAATAGATAACAAAGTTAATTATTCATTCACAGTTATATTTAGTGCGTTCTGTAGTTTTAAAGTCCTTATTCCTTTTTAGGCTACCTGGGTTTGTTTCTGTTTCATTTGGTTCTTTCTAAAAAAATCTATTACAGAAAATACCACCTTTTTTTCTTTTTTTTTTAATGAGCATCCATTAGTTGAAATATGCCCTTCAGTGTACTGTATTGGTGTGTAATGTGGTAGATATCTTTGTAAAGGACCTTATTAGTTGAATCAATAGTTACAGGCTTGACGCAGGATCTCTTGCTCAAATTATCTGGCCTGCATATGCCTATATATAGGCACATAGCCTTTAAGACCTTAGCTTTGCTAAAGTGCATTTCCTTCATGCTGCTCTTCCAGTTTGGAAATTTTTTTTAACAACATGCATCGGATTTGTAATTCCTAGCTTTCTTATTTTAGATCCATATTTGAGATCACACAGGATGATATGCTGTTCCTGGCTTCTCCTCTAACATTTGACCCATCTGTGGTTGAATTGTTCATTGCTCTGACAAGCGGAGCCTCTATTCTTGTAGTACCAAACACTATTAAAATGATGCCTGTGGAGCTGTCTGCTGCACTATTTCACCATCACCACGTGACAGTGTTGCAGGTAGGCAACACCTAAGATAAGTGTCTTCAGTGTCTTGCTTCTCACCTTTGCTAATGTCTACTACTTTTTCATCAGTCTAGTCACTAATAACAATAGAGCAGGAGCATTCTTCCTTGAAAGCGTAGCTCATGCTATCCTTTTTGCTGTAGAGTGTTAGCTGTTTAGAAAATTACCATTTGATCAAAGCCTCAAACATTTTGTGACAGAAAACAATGAACTAAAGGTAAAACCAACATTACTCTTAAGAAACCATTAATTCTTAAGAATTAATTATTCTGTTAATAAGCAGTTAGTTCCAAATAATCTGGTAATAGAGTAACCTGTTATAGATATTTTTAGCACTTTTTAATGGCCTTGATCTTAGAGCCTTTCCTCATAAACAACTCTTAAGTTTTAATGGAAGTCTCTATGCTAAAAATACAACAACTAAACCAGTGCCATTTATAGGGTCATAAAATGTGTGTCGTTTTTACAATAACGAGAGCAAGAGAATAATTGATTCCACGGCAACACTTACTGTTTTCAGGCCACCTGTTCTTATGAGGCTTCATATGTTTTGGAATAGATCGCCTCCTATATGATCTCAATTTTAATATTTTTAAAGTTCATTTTTGGAAAACTTACTTGAAGTTAGGAGCATCCAGCATGGCTGAATAAGCCTAGCCCTTGCCTTGCAGTGTAATGAGGTATTTGTAAAACTGAATTGAATACAGAAACTTAAATCAGAGTGGGGGGGGAGGAGTCACTAGAAATGGATCTCACTTGTAACTGACTGTGAACAAAATGGGTATGGTCTGATTAGTCCATTAATTGTGATAAATCAACCTCTAAGCCTTGCTTTGTCATTAATGTAATTCTGAAGTATTTGCACTCATAGAAATGCTGAGATTTCCTTTTCTTTTGGAGGAATGGTGGTAGTTGAGATTGTAGGGTATAAATTTAAGATTAGTGAGTAGTTAGCTGAAGATTCCACAGCGGAAAAAATCCACTAGTTACAAATAGCTTGTAACTTTATTGTCTGCTCTTATTTATTATGACTGCTATAAGTCTCAATGGTGTAGATTTTCCTATCATATACAAGTTTCTTGATCAGTTTAGCTCACTTGCTTTTAGAAAAAAAAATCAGAGATATTAATGTGTATTAGCAAGATTTTTAAAGTATGTTTTTTAAGACTTAAGATACATATTTTTTAAGCATGTTAAGTGTTAATAGAGAAAGGCGAAAGTTGGTGAATTAAGGTATTTGAGATCTTTCTTTAAAAAGTTTGGTTTTGTGGTTTTTTTGATAATTGTCTTCGTGAGTGAAAGAAGAAGGGCTTCTCAGCAGAATTAATGACAAAAATGTTGTCCTTATAGCTTAACTGATAATGAATAATTTTAAGATGTTTCTTAAATTATAGCAAGAAATCCCCTTCCCCTCTTGACTTGCTTAAGCATACTTGAGAAATCTGGAAAGTGATTATGAGGAAGGGGAAGAGTAATTTTCTTTCCCCCTTTTTTCTTTATGATTCACTAAAATTAAAATGATTAGCTGAGAAGCGATGGTCTTCATCTATTGCTAGAATAAAATAACCTGGTAAGAAATAATTCCATTAATTTTCCAGTTCTCTTACTAGAAAAAGTAGGGAACAATGAGAGTGAAGTGTGTCTATTAAAATGTTTGTTCTTTTTCCCTCCAGTGAAAAGGCTCTACATTACCAATATTTTTATAGAAGTAGTTGTATTTAGGGAAGCTGGTGTTTTTCTTTTTTTTGTTTCTTTTTTTTGCCCTGCTCATTTTAGAGTGTGATGTGAAAGCCTTCAGAAAAACTAATCTTTATAAACTGTTACATTTACACAAATCGGGAACAACGTGGAATCTGGCATCCTAGGAATTTTTAGTGTTATGGAAAGGTCTTTAAATGTTCTATATGCAGGTTAATCAGATGTATAGGTTATATTTTAGCTGTAACATGCTGGAATGAAGGGAAACAAGCTTAAATAGTAACATCGAGAGAATACTGTGTTTGCTGCTTTCTGTTTCAAAGTAATTAACATAAGAACTACTATGCACACACTTTAGGTAATAGCTGAGACACAACAGGGAACCCATAACACATCTAAGTAAAGACGACACTCTGCAGAAGAAGCGTTGATGCTGCTATAGATTGGTGCTGATAGTACTCATTAAAGGCTTCACATAAGAAACAAAATCTTGCAAAACACCAGCATGATCTATTATGGTATCTGATGATTGATGCCATCTGCTATACATAGGTGATTGTTAAGTACATCCACGATATAGCTATGCAGTGGATATGATAAAGCAGGAAGAGGTTTATACATACACTGAAAAAATATAACATCTTTTTCTTATCTTTTTTTTTTTTTTAATATGTACCATTCAGGCAACACCAACACTTCTCAGAAGGTTTGGAGCTCACATTATTAAGTCAACAGTGTTGTCTGCAAATACTTCACTTCGTGTTTTAGCCCTTGGTGGTGAAGCATTTCCTGTACTGAATCTCTTGAAAAGTTGGAAGCACAAGGAGAACAAAACAAGTATTTTTAATTTGTATGGTATTACTGAAGTGTCAAGCTGGGCCACATGCTACAAGATTCCTGAAGAGGTTTTTAGTGCTGATTTTAGGTAGGAAAATTCACTGTGTTCGTGGCTTGGCGTGTGAATGATGAAAATCACTAGAAATAGAACCTCGGTCTCTTGTTTCCAGGGCTACTGAGTCCTCATGAGTGTTTATGCTGGTAGAAGTTACATTTTATTTTTATGTAGAAACAGAGTAATCCATTCTCTCTTGCTTTAATACAGCCCCCTCAAGTAGAAGTTGTTGATGAGTGATTCTTGAACAACAGAACTGCAGTCTGAAATTCTGTGTACTTGTAGACCTGTTAAGTTTCACATAATGTGTCGTGATGGTCTATGTTTTAGTCATCTCTGTATCTAGACCTCTTTCCTCATTCCAGCCTCTGATTCCACATGCTGAACCTGGACTAGCCTAGTCCAGGGTGTACTGTTTCTGAATATGTGGCAGTACGGAATCAGTGTGGCACTTCTGCAGGCAAATGGTTCCTACCCAATTTGCTTGTAACATCAGTTAGCAATACTTTTGCTCATCATGAGGCTTTTCCGGTGAGATCTTACATGTTCAAGGAGAAGAAACCTAACAGCTGTCTGAGAGTAAAGAAATGGGGCTCTAATTAATCATAGCCTTGGAACAAAGATATACTCATAGCTTAGCTTTATCAAGTTCAGAATGTTACTTCTGAGATTTACTTATTTTAAGCAAAAATGTTCAAATGTTACTTTCAAATGTAGTCAGGAGCTATATGTGTGTTTCTTACTGCTACCGTGCTTTTGCCTACAGTTTTTAAAACTCCGCAAATAATCAATTAAGTGGAGAGTAGGTACTGGTTTTTTTTCTAATATTGGATAATACACGATTCAGCAAATGATCCCACTGATATTACTTGACTAGTATGGATGACAGAAATTTGTCCAAAGTGGCTCACCCAGGTCTCACAGTAATATTATTGGACTTCCCAAAGTACTTTCTTTTCATCATTTAGCAATCTGCCATTTTCACGCAATTACTGACTTTTTTTTTTTTTGTTCACTGTGTTTTATAAAGAAGTTGCAGGAGTGCCAAGGTCGTGAAAGGTACTTCCAGTTAGCTCAGCGTTTCATTTGTTCTCTGAAATGTGAAATGATTCCCTGGCATGATAATTATACATGTGACTTGAGTTAGACATGGCCTATGAAATGGGATGTTTTGGAGAAATTATGCAATATCTTAACCTGGGACTTAAACCCTTGAAGACTGAAAATGGTGGATGGTCATAAAGTGTTATTAAATTATCATGCACAACTCATATTCATTCTGGTTTCTCTGAGTTCAAACAATACCTCCTCCTTGGTGAAAGTATTTTTTCTACTCAAAAGTTTCTGTGCTCCAGAGATAAAGTGTTGTTCCTCAGTCCTAACTGAGGTGCAGTTAGAATGATGGGTGTATTTGTAGTCTCTGACTGTTGTCTCCCACCCTTCACCTCAGAGCCTGTTCCCTCTAAGCCTCACTGCAAGGGAATTAGGGTTTCTTTGCAGTAAGCAGCCCCAGATAAAACAAAACCAGGACAGACCTTTTTATGTCTTCTTTGTTTCTTAGTATTCGTAGGACAGTTGGAGTACAGCGGGCTTTTATTTTTGCTAGCTGAATGATGAAAGCTGGTAGTTTCTAGAGAATGGGAGAAAATGAAAAATATCAGCACAAAGTTAGTGCCTTAGTGGTCTGCACCCCTCTGTTTTTTAGAAAAGTTTGGCAAAATTAAATGTCTAATCCCAAGTCTCTTAATAATGTCCAAATCAGGTGTTGTTTGTCTTTTATTTTTGCTATTCTGTGGTACATGTAGGAATCTTGGGGTTTTGTTTGGCAATGTTAAATTCTACTCTTTTTTGGTTTTGTCTTTGTGTTGGACTTCCCCATAGTATGGGGCAGACACACTGAATATCTGGGATGCTTTCTCATACCTATTTGTCAAGTAATTCTATTTTGAAGCTGGCCAGAGGAAGGAAAAGGAGGAGAAGATTCTCACATGGCAGAAATACCCATTTCACAGAATTTGAATGCTTTTCGGTTAGCTTGAGATAAAGAATTCATTTCCTGATCAGAGAAAATAAGAAGTTTCAACAGCCTAAATAAAAGGAGTTGAACAAGAATTGTTGGGTTAAAATATGATACTTTGCGATAGAAATCAAAGTGGAACCCATGCCTAACTTCATGTATTACCAAACTTATTTAAAGTTACTTTGCTTTTTAAATTTTGCTTTACTGAAGAAAATATGTTATTTTCTACTCCCACTCGGAAATACATTCAATAAATGAGGTTCTGCAAGTGCTTGAAGAGGCTAGAGAATGAAGGGAAAGGAAGGACTTGGCCTGCCACTCAATAGAAGAAGTCTGTAATAGATATATGACATTGAAATTACAGTTTCTTTTCTTTCAGTCTTTTCTGAAAGAGTCAACTGTACTTGTTGCCACGACATCAGTAATAAAATAGGATAAAAGCTCAAACTAGGTAAGACAGGGAAAGAATTAATTAGAAAGCAGTTCAATGTGTTTAAATTGGTTTAGCTTGATGGGAATTTCGACCTGGGGGACTTAAAAACTGGCTGAAACTCTCGGGGTACTCTCAGGGTATTTCAGGGTCCATTCAGGCCTTATTTTCTATCATTCTGTGTTTTCTGGTGTATGATAATGAAACCCATGCACACTGATGAGGTTTTTAATTTTGAACAAATGGAGATATTTTTAAAGAAGAAACATTTGTAGAGAGAAGCCTCAAGCATCTACTTTTGCTCTAATACCAATCCTTTAAAAGACTGTATGCTAACTCATTTCTGGAACAGTTGTTTTGTGTTCAGAAGGGAAAGGTTTTTACTGTTTCTCTCTTTAATGTGTTTAGAACTGATTTCCCTATACCTTTGGGGTCACCACTCCTTGGAACAAAAGTTGAGGTCAGAGATGCCAACGGTTCTGCAGTTCTAGAAGGCGAGGGACAAATATTTATAGGTTATTTGATATTTCTTATTCTTCTAAGATACTTTTCTTAATTGATTGGGTTGTAATAATACGTTGATTATTTTACTTGGTGTCTGCCTCTGATATACAGATTAATATGGCATTTTAAGTTCCTATTGGGCCAAGAACCTTCTGATAGTATTTTAGGTTGTTGGAATGATTTTCCAAGCAGGAAATTACCATCATTTTATCTGCAGACTGTGCTTTCATTATATTGACTTTTCTCCTGCTTGCATTTTGACGTTCTCAGTTAAAGTAATTTCTGTGTATTAACTGAATTAACTCCATAGCCTAATTTGTACATTGCAGAAGCTTAAACATTGATAATAATATCTTAGTACTTTTTATAATGCTTGTTAGAGTTTAGGATAATTTGATAAAATACTCTTTGTAATTTTCATTTACAGTTAGCCATTTAATATATATGACTACAATCTTTTCTTGTATAGGTGGTGAAGAACGAATCTGCTTTCTTGATGATGAAATAACTGTACCCCTGGGTACAATGAGAGAAACAGGGGATTTTGTAAGAGTGCAGAATGCAAAGTTGTTCTTCGTGGGTCGGAAAGACAATCAGATTAAACGTCACGGCAAACGTTTTAATATTGAATGTTTGCAGCAGGTAATATAACATCTAGCGGGTAGAGTATGCCAATATAAAAGAGCAGGGATAAGGAACACATCATTATCAGAAATGGGTATTTACTTATCTTCAGATTACTTTTAGGAGTTTAAAAGAAATTGGGAGGGTGTGTTAATGAAAAATCTAGTAACATAATTTAGGGAGGAGTTTGGTTCTGAGTTCTTGGAAATCTGTTTTACTGTATGGTTTCTTCCAGCAGAATTGAGAACTGTATAAACACCTGAAAAATACCAAATGTTGCACTGCAATGCTTGTATAGTGATTGTTCAACAAGACTGAATGTCAGACTCATGGATTATATCTTGTTCATGGCATTTAGGCAAATAATACATATATCTCTGAGTTCATTTTTATGTGAAGAAGTACAAACTTCAGCTACAAGAGAAGGTATTTCATAGGATGTTATGTAGGAATGCGAGACATACAAACTTTAAATGTGTGCTTCTTTGAGTTACAGTTTTTACTCCTTTTATTCTATTGATGAAGTGCATTTCAAAGCAAGACTAATATTTTTTAATTACAGGCTGCTGAAGATCTTTGTCAGGTAGAAGCTTAAAAAAAAGCAGGAAAAACTTATCCTGTTTGTTGTACCCAAAGATGATTTCGAAGAGAGAGAAACACTTAAAGAACTGCAGAAAAGTCTACCAGCTCATGCAGTCCCTGATGAGCTTGTACTGATTAAAGCTTTGCCTTTAACATCACATGGTAAATGAAACTATTAAGTACCCTTGGCGCTTATTTTAATAGTCTGTATTTCTTTTTTAAATTTTATTTTTTTATTGACCAAAATCCTGTACCTGATTCATGCTTTTTAAATATGTAGATTAGATAACTAACTCCTAATAGGAAATCATGACCACGTATTATGTTTTCTTGGTAACGTTTCATTCGAGAGTCAGAGAGTAGTGATAAAACCAACTTAGTATTAACACTGCACCTTTCTTTTTTCAGTCATTCGTGTTGCAGTCTGCAACAGAACTCTGACTTCAGCTGGGGAAAGATCAGGCCTTGGAGGTGGGATTATGTGGGAGGTTAGGGTAAATTTTCAAAAACCTTATTGGGTTCTGTGTAGTTCATTGACTGGGTGAAAAAAACACAGGTGCAATTGAGTATGAATAAGGAAGTGTGTACAAGAATAAAGTGACTATTTGGGCAGAGCAAGTTTTGGAAGTGTAAATGCTAAAAGAGCAATGAAAAAAATCGTACTTTATTTTCTACAAAGGCAAAGTTGATATATCTGAACTGAACAAGATTTACCAGAACCATCTAAACTCCAGAAGGCGTGACAGTAAGCTGAGTGGCGCAGAGGAATTGTGGGAAAGATTGCAGTATTTATGGAAGGTAGTATTTTGAGCTGCCTTTTTATCTTTGCAAGTGGATCATTATACATGTGTCAGGAATTAAACAGTTTTAAGAAGTATGACTAATGCAACCAGAACTGTCTAGCTGCCTATAGATTTAAGCGGTACAGCTCTTTCTGTTTGGTTAATACTTAAATATAATCGCTCTGCAGTGGCCAAGAGGGAGTCATTTATATTTCTCTGTCAGATAAAACTGAGGCTATGAGGTATAAGCAGTGAGCATAGGAAGGACGTAACCTGTCAGTAGCTTTTTGAATACTGTTTCACGTGCCAAAGAAGGTATCCCTAAGGGAAACAAGGAATTGGGACATGGAAACTTTCTACAAAATAACTACTGTGTTAGTCGAGTTTCTTATTGCTAAATATAATTATGAATTCAAGAGTCTTTTTTTAAGTAGATGCACAGTTGTGTAATTATCTCTTGGACTGTTTGTATTGTTTCTAAATTTCTGTGCTAATGACTTGTTTTTCAAGGTACTGAAATATGATGCGAAGCAGTTTGGTTTCTTCGTTTGGTTTTGTTTTTTTTTTTTTTTCCCCTCCAAAGATAGACTTCCAAGTCTCCCCTGAAAGCAGGATTTGCTGCGGCTAGGACTTGAACAAGTAAATGTAGTGAAATTAGTAACACAATTTGCCTATGCTGATACTTTCCGTATTGGTGGCTATAGAAATGATAACCCAAACGGATGGAATGTCCCCAGCCCCATTATGGACAGCAGAAAGCGGCTTCCAAAACCAGAGGATCTGGTTTGGTCAGAGACTTCACAAGCAGGGAGTGCAGTGAGAGAAGATATAGTAATTGGTGTTTGTTGTAGTAACAATGCCAAATCCAAAATCCTTCATGAATTGAAGGGGTTATAGCCTCAAAAGTCGGTAGATAAGCAGGTTACTGAAATAATTCAGAAGTAAAAGATACCAGTTTATATAAGTTTTATTAATAAAATAAAGCACCTAAACCAATTTTATCAAAAGGCATCAATGTTTTATCTGTGAAGTTGTCATTAATAAATGGTATGGAGATTGAAAACGGCCAACAAAAATACAGGACGATTTGCTTTAATTTCTTAGGCTGCAGAATTGGAATTGAGCAGAACATTTTGTAGTGCAGAACTAGTATCTCCCTGTTTCCCCATTCCTCCCCAACTGTTGTTCCATCACTACTTCTGTTGGCACGAACCTGTTCCATGTGATTTTTTGCAAAGCAGTGAATTTCCTCAGTTGTAGATTTTTAGTGGGACTTCTGGGTATTCAGGTGGATTTTACCCAACTTGAATTTTTATGTGTGTGACATGGTGTAACACCCATGGACTGTTAACCTCTTTCCTTCTTCTTTTTTCTAGTCTGTTCTGGGTCTCCTAGGTGATTCCACCAGAATTTCTAAAGATGCGGTATTTCTGTACAGTGGTGGAGACTCCTTAAAGGCTCTACGATTTTATGATGAAATTGAGATGCTAGTAGGCAAAGCTGTGCCTGGACTCCTCGAAGTTATTCTCAGCCGCTCAATTGAAGAGGTTTATAGACATATCCTTAAAATTCTGTTTCCAGATGAAGACCAATTAATGAATTATGACAATGTTGTGAAAAGAAAATTAAGTGGGAACAGTGGAGAGGACTTCCATGGAAAATATATTAAACTGAAATCTGAAAGAAATCTTGAGGTTGCTTCAGGGTTAATTTCATTTATTGCACTAAGCAGAGGAAATCATTTTTTCTCTATGAATTTCACCAAGTCTTTTATGCAACCCAACAATACAGTACAGGTAGGAGTGGAACTGCTACAGCAACCATCCTTTCTGCATTTAGTGACTCCAAGTATAATGAAAAGCCACGCACAAGGGTATGAAACGGAGAACAGAATTTTAACAATTACGAACAAGGCAAATAAAACCGACTGTTGCTCTGTACAGCAGATCAATGCAGAATGCAGTCATGTAGCAACGGCAGAGTTGGCATTATGCACAAGATGGAAGTCCAATACAAGAAAATGTGTTGATGCATCACCACTGGTTGTAATACCATCTAAAGAAGAAGTATCTGCATCTGTATATATTGGTTCTCATTCTCATGCAATGCAGGCAATTGATCTAGATTTGGGAGAAATAAAATGGGAGAAGAACCTTGGAGATCGTATTGAATCTTCTGCCTGCGTATCTAAGTGTGGAAATTTCATAGTTGTTGGTACGTCTTTTGTTTTAGCCTTCATTTTTTAAATTATTTTTTCTGCTAAATACAAGATGAATGACAGAGAATTATATTTCTTACCTCTGAATGCCCCCCATCTACACTTATCCATAAACTTCCATGTCCTTCAGAACTAATTTATTGTAAAGTAGAAACAGAAGGAAGAAGTAATTTAAGTTTCATGATAACCGGTGATGGAGCTTATCTAACATGTACACTTGTGGTTTATTATATGTCGATTTATTACGAAGGCCTTATTAAGGAATAGTCAATGGGTACAGTTTCTTTTTAGTGGTTGATTAAGGTATGACCTTTAAACTTTTTTTTTTTGAAGTATGGAAAGGTGATACAGTCTTAAAATGTCTTTAAAAATTGATAGAGGTAGAAATTAGTACATGGTGCCTCAGATTATTTTTCACAGAATTTAATTATCTCGTTTGACTCTTCTTTTTGGAAATGTGAAGAACATGTTTGGATAGTTTTTTGGTTTCATCTTATCAGTTGTCAGTGGAGTTGCCATTATTCATCTTAGTGTTATCTTTTTAGCTAATATGTATACATCGCTGGCTGGCACAGATGTCCAGGTGGTGACATTTTTTATGCAAAGCTTATGTTACCATCTTTTTGCTAGTATTTTGATTGCTATTTACTCTGATAACAAAATTGAATGTTTCATTAAAATTGAAGGATTTTCTGGAACTACAATTCAGTTTTCATTAGAAAGCATACAGACTTTTTTCTTTCAGCATCTTTGTTTTCAGAAAGGAAAATTAGGGAA